GTGTGGACATCACCCTGCTCCGAGGTAGCGCTGTTAGCCCTTGACAAACCTCATGCTATTCCCCTATTGGTGTTTGTTTTGCACCTTCATGATGCAGTGCGCTGCTGATGAGCCACCATGCATTTGTCAACTACTGGATCCTTGATAACGAGGGATTCGGAGCGCCTGCTCGATCCGCTTGTATGGACAGCTGCATCGCAAACGACGGACATATGACTGCTGAAATTGGCGAATGCCAGAAACGCCCTTTCGAATATACCACACCTGTGATGCAGATTTCCACAAAACGCGGGCCGGTCTAATGGACGACAGTTACGTTTAGTACTTTCGAACAAGATCAGAATGCTCATAGGCTCTTCGACTGCGCCTGGCTTCACTGGGAACATACCTTTATTATTATTATTGTCTAGTGTCGCCACTCATTAGAGTAATGCTCTAACATTTATATAAAGATGAGACGAGCATACCGGTACTAAGGGTGTGCTCATAGCTCATCGAAAAAAGTTTTATCCCATTCATCTAACACTGGGTGTCGCGTGAATCGATTTGGGCAACCGTCGACCAAGCATAGGGAAGTTCAGTGGCTGTCTAATGAATTGGCTCGGCGAACCACCCCGTGGTACCAGTTGGGAGTGATTCGGGTCGATCTCGTTCCAGCGAATGGTTGTGACAGTGTTTCAAGACGAAGTGGGTTACCGCCTAGCATTCGTTTTCTCCACTGACGTCAGTCATCCACGCTGTATAGTCTCTGTGATCGTTTCTTGCACTGGCGACCCAAACAAACAATCACACACGCAGCGTTACATAACTTTATTCAACGTGGCCACATACACACGTTTCTACATATACATTTGCACACAAAGTTCAGTTTGCAACTGGTAACATATTGTCCAGTTGCCGATCATTCTTGTTAATATTAACTTGATTATGCGTGCCTCACACTGTCGAGAATAAACTATTTGTTTGTCTGACTAGGAAGTAACTGACGAATTACCAATAAAGGTGGTAACAAAATCCCCTACTACTTGACTTGCCAGTCTAAGTTCTGCAGTAATGCGCACCACTGATGTGTCTCAATAGAACGAATCATCGTCATCAATACACGTTAGCTGATAATGAGAAACCTCAGCCGCAATACTAAAAAGTTTCACTAAAAAACGATTCCAAGCAAGTAATGGGCTGTTAAATATTATATTATGCGTTTTGTATGAGATCGGGATTGGAGGGGAACCTAAAGGGGAAGGAGGATGGATAAAGAAACCCAAAACACAAACGTCATTGGGTCCGGCTCCTAACCATACCAACAAGTGTGTCAAACTAAACATGTTCATCGTCCTTAGGACCCCATCCACGCAGTCAGGATGCACCAACCGCATCAAATTCGAAGTGAGGGTTTTCATTTATCTAGACCAAGTCATCGCTTGGCCTCCCGTCCTCCTCTTCCAACCGCACTCCCGACGCGCAAACAATGCACCTCGCAGGTTTCGGTGTGCTGACCTGCGCAACACGTGGCCCAGCCATCGAAGCTTGGTGCGTGATATAATGGTGCTGTACGGTTCAGTTGCTCTTCCTGCACCAAATACGAGTTGCCGAACACGCTCATTGCTCACGCGGTGCTCCCACCAAACATGAGCTAAGCGACGAAGGCAGTGATGATCGAATGTGATGAGCCTCTTCATGTCTGTCGACCTGATGCGCCAAGTTTCACAACCATATACGAGAACTGTACGGACGGCTGCGTTATAAACTCTGTCCTTCAGGGTTAGAGTAACGTCGCGTTGGCGCCACAGGTGGCGGAGATTCGTAATAGCACCTCATAACCTCATCTTCGATCCCACGGGCGCTAATATAGCTGCCCAGGTACTTGAATTCCTGAACGACTTCTAGCTGATCGCCACCAAGCGTCAGCGCAGAGGTGGGTCCCTTTCAATCTTGGAGGACTTTGCATTTCGAGGGAGCAAAATTTAGCCCCAAACAACTGACAGCCAGTGTTAATCGATCCAGTGCTATTTGGCACTTTTTGGAGCTGTTATAGATTAGGGAAATATCGTCCGCATACTCCAAGTCAAGAAGTCGCTCACCAGGAAGCAGCTTCACACTATTTAAATTGTGTTCAGCGAATGCTGTTTCCATGACTTCGTCAATCCCGAAAGTAAAGAGGAAATGTGACAGCGGGCAACCTTGTCCTACACCTCTGGTGATAATAAAGGTCTGCGACAGTTTGCCATAAACCGTCGCTCTGCCCGAACTATGCGCGTACAACGCTTTGATAATGTTTACATATTTATCAGGCACACTTTTCCTCAGCAGATAGTCCCAAATGGGACATCGATTGACTGAAGTGAAGGCACTTTTTTGTCAAGACACGGTGGGTCGCTAATACACCTGGCGGTGCTCCAACAATTGACGCAAGGTGAAGATGTGGTCGATGCAGCCCCGACCTCGACGAAACCCGGTTTGCTTTTCACGGACCTAGTTTTTAGGAGTGCCAGTCAATCTGTGGAGAACGCTTTAGAGGCAGTTGAGATCAGACTGATCCATCTATTGTCGCGGCATTCCGAACGGGACCATCCCTTGAAAATTGGGACAGAGCGGCTCCAGTCTGTCGGTACACTCTCCTGCTCCCAAATTTTCACTAGCAATTCGTGCAAATTATCTACTAGAGCAAACCCCCCGAATTTGAAAAGGGCTGGGGGAATTCTATCTGCCCCTGCGCCCTTATGTAATTTCAACAGCCTGATCTCACGTTTGGCTTCTCCGTATAAGGGCGGATCCAAGGAGACGGCCCAGGGATAAGGGCGTTCAGCCCGAAAAACAAAACGATAACTCAGGTTTGTTAAATTGCCTTGCAAAGTGTTCGGCCCGACGCTCCAAGCGTTTTGACAAGCTGTAAATCGGCTCTCCACTCTCGTCGCGTGTGGTCTCGCTAACACCAGGTCTCCTGTTGCCTGTTTCCCGTATCAAATGGAATAACTTACGATGATTACCAACGACAGCGCTTTTTCCACTGAGGCACGATGAGGCCACCAGACTTCGCGATCTCTCTTCAGGCTACCACGCAGTTTTGCCCTGAGAGTTTTGTGAGTCTCATTGTATTCGCTTCCAGCCGGAATACGTCGGCGAGCATCCATAAGTTCCAGAGAGTATGTAGAGACCCAATGTCGAGTTTAGCAATTTGATTTGCCACATGAAGGCATGCCTGATAGTAACGTCTGGCGAATATGCATCCAGTGATCTTCGACGGTGGTCAATGGGCGCTTACTCTGCTCGGATGCCAGTGTACTTTGATACGCATACAGCACCCCTGGCTTTGCCAGCTGGCTGGTGTCAATGCGTTCACGTCGACGTTGCGGGCGTCTACCGAAAAGCATCCAGAGGTCGGCGTAAACAAGTGCGTAGTCAGAGTCTACGCTCGTACTCCAAATGAGGTGACAGTTTTGGACACAGACTCCAGCGGTAACTGATCGCGATATGATCGGTTTGCGTCCATGGCTGGTAGGCGGTAGGTCACTCTTCTGCGAGTGCTATGTCGAAAATTAGTGCCCACGAGAAAGAGACGAGCATTTTCACACTTGTGTAGCAACCGCTCGCCGTTATCAGTACGAGAGCCTACACCATATTGGCCGCCCAGATGAAGCTCATCAGAGAACAATTTTCCAACTTGGGGGTTCAGAGCACCAGCAAACACCTCGGTATCCGTACTTTTGCTGCAACGGAGGAGCGTGTTCACTTGGTGATAGAATCCATCTTTCACCGAATCAGTGCCACAGTTTGCAGGGGCGTAGACCTCAATGACAAACAGGCACCGTTGGTTCTCGCGCGACTTCGAAGCATGGAACGAACTAGTTAATCTAACGGCGCGCATCCGAATGTTGTCTGGAATCCAATTGGTCAGGGAAGCTTCAGCCCGGGGACTCAAAACAATGCCGACGCCAGCTTGACCGGCATTTGAAGCTGCATCATCGCCAGAGAGACGCAATGAGAATGTGCCGGCAGTGTCGCATGTGGGGGATCGCAGGGTAAGCATGGAGCTGGAATTTTGCAGGCAGGTTTCTGATAAACAGCAAATATCCCTCGATAGGGCTTCTAGTGTGCGGGCAAGCGCTGCCTGTCGGTCAATCTGTAGAAAAGTGCGCACATTGAGTCATGCCAGGCTTATCGAGGACTCCAAAGGGAAACGGATGAACTGACATTGTCCGCTCGGTTGAACATGGACTTTTCAACTGGATTGAAGCGACGCTTTGCGATTGCGTGTGAGTTGAAACTAGAAGACAAGCGACTATGGGAGGGCCAAGAATTGAGGGATTAAAAATGGGGGACAAAATGGAAGTTGGAGCGAGACGATAAGGATTAAAAAGCGCAAGAAGGGGAATAAGAAAACGGGAAGGCTTGAGCAGTAGCATCTAAACCCCTATCCACCCTGCTCGATGCAGCAGATAGGGCGCTGTTGATTATCTTATGCGGCTCGGAAACTAATTACGACGAACCAAATCGAATTTATCTATTTGTTTAAACCCGTCACTCTTCAAACCGTTGCCTCGTGACTGACACCCTGAGTTTTTCTCGTGATCCACACACGCGAGTTCTTTAAAGTGCCCCCCCCCCCAAACAATGATATTTTTGTCGTTTTTAGCGTCGTACCTTATTTATTTGTTTTAAAGTTGGATGCTTATGACTAAACTGTTCTTAAGGTACGATGAAAACCACCGAATCCTGTGCAAATACGAACATTTAAACAAGTCACCACAATTTGGTGATAAAATTCGCTTAAATACAGGCACTACGGTAGAGTCATTATGTCATGGGAGCAGAGGTGATGGCCTAGTACAAGGGTGATATTGGATTATCGTTATCAACATGTTGGCTGAAATGTGTTCACTCGGTGCTATATGTCCGTTTTTAATATATAATACATTTGTGATGTAATAATTGTTGTTTACCCCCATCTGCCCATCTATCTAGAAGAGCACTCACGTCCCCATTTTGTTTGATCCTTTTAGACACCCACAATCACATCTACCGCAGTTCCACGTCATGTCTCGCGCCGTACACCAACTTGATTTTGTCTCATCCCAGAAAACCCCAAGCCTCCACCAGCACCAGTGCCCGTGTCACATAAGCTCGGGCCAGTTGCTGTCTTCATATGACTTATCTTGCTCATGCGCAAATCGTGACCGAGTAAAGTTGTTTCTTTTCCAAATTTTTATATGTGAGAGCGCATTGTTTTCTTGTTGCCATTATACTCCCCAATCCCACTGCCCTCACCTCCGACACCTTTGTATCCCCCTTACTTGTCGCACTATGGATTGCACTTATTTCTTTCACATTTCTCATCTCGGTACTGTCGCTGTTTATCCGCTATCTAGTCATTTTCGTTCTTCAGGAAAAAATGTATCAAACCAACTTAAAATCTGTGCTTATTTGTTGTGATTTTTTGTTAACCACGCCACACTCAGCAAACAAAAACAGATGCACGCCAGCAAACGACTATTTAACATTATGAATTCACTAACAGTACATTTTTGTGATCGGATTGTCGGATCTCGTCTACGTCCTTTTTGACACGCGTGTCGCGTTTCACTGCCGCAACTAATGCTGATACCGTCATCTGTCATTGTTCCCTTTTGTACACGTCAAACGTCCTTCCTTCACACCTTGCAACGGACCCCGTGTCTGTCGATAGATTCCATGGAATACTTCTTTTGACTTGGTGTTTCACACGGGATGCATGTTCGTGCTTTATATGTTGGTTCCGTTGGTATACCTCCCTGCTTGACTGGAATGTGACCGTGTCCAACCACAGATGCCTACACAGTGTTCCTCAAGGGTCGTGCTAGCGTAGTGTTTCGCATCCAGGTTTACCACTCTGAGTCTGTCAGCAGACCATCCGGTGCCAACTGAATCACATACACTTACTAGAGCGTATCCTTCCTAGAATTGGTAAATAATAATAACATTGTGTCAGCTGTACGCCGCTTCGCTGCCGCGCGACAACCACCGGTCGCGCGTGGGCTGAGCATACTGCGAGGACGCCCACTCCTACGCGGATTCGAACCGGTGACCTTATGATTACAAGCCAGGCGTGTAGACCACTCGGTCACCGATCGACCGTTTGGGTGTTAATTCAAGAATAAACGGTGACCAGCTGTTCGCCGAAAGCGGCTGAGACTTGCGGTCCCGTCAATGCAGTCCAGCGCTGCAGAATTTAGGCTGGATCCGCGGCAAGTCGAATAGTAGGGCATTTTGTTACCACCTTTATTGATAATTCATCAGTTACTTCCCAGTCAGATGGTCCATGCGCATGTAAAAAAAACGCGGGACGCCAGCTACATTCACTATGGCGCGCATTCTCCTTGCTCTTTCGTTAGTGGAGTTCACAACCCATACTTTGGAAGTTAGCGCCTTATACCATTGGCAACGGGCCGGCAGGTTAGCTGCGGTATGGTGCGGTTCATTCACCATCAGTCTTTTAATATCTTCGGTGCACCATGATCAAGTGACGGACTCGCATAATGACATTGGTTGCAACACAACTTTGCGAACCTTGACGAATAAGCATCCTGCGGCCTCCGTATGTGACTGGAGCTTTGGAAAGCTACGCGATTATTACATTACGAGCATTAACCTCTTCGATGATACCAGTTGACAGCCTCAAGAAATGCGTGAAAAGTGGCGATGTGCCGGTTCATTTTTGCAACAACGTAAGGGTGCAAAGTGTGGGGTGTTGCGCTTCAGCCTAGTTGAATCTAACCGAAATAGTGATATACAGTCCGTATGGTGTATGTGTTCGATAGTTCGACACCAACCAAGGAAAATGCAAGATGGGAAAGTTAATCGGCCACATTGGTCGTAATGCTGGAAAGAAGTGGAGTGATAGAGCAGCGATGAGGCATTCCTTTCGTCATGATGAATCTAGGTGGAAGTTTATTTTACAACCGTGCACTGACACAGGAGCCGTGATAAAAGAAATCCTGGTATGACTTTCAACGATAGACAACGCTACAAAATGCGAAGATCGTGGTAGATTGTCTTGAAGTGTGATTACGTCCAGGTATCCACACACACAAGATTTTGGCACCCGACCCAGTGGGAACGGCGAATGCTTGTGTCGTGGTGAGCGCTTTTGCTTACGTAGGTTTGGGGAGAATTTAAATGAAGAGCTAGACGCTAGTGCAATACCGGTGCGCCGGCTACGTGATAGCGCGAAAGACACCATCAATGCTATCATGTTTCTGCTAATGACGCTGTCGTCACAGACTCCGCCCCAACTGAAAAGTTGAAATCTCAGAGGCAGTCTTTAGGGATGACCAAGGTACAGCATCACACTGCAGCAAAGTTGTTCTGACGAGTATGCGACCTTGCAGGTATTCTTGCTACTAGAATTTGTTCCAAAGCAATCCCCCTCCGGACCTTGGTTAGCAGCTCACTTAAGCAGAGAAGAAGAAGAAGGCATCAGTAGTATGCCGGTACGTAGTATCGACGCTTCGCTGCTATGCAACCACCACCGTTCGCACGCGGGCTAAGGATACTGCGGGGGTCGCCCAGGCCCCTATGCAGGCTTGAACCCGCGCCCTCAGATCACAAGGTAGACCACGGGCCGGCTATTAGAGCAGAGATATGCATATGAACGACTACGGTGTTTTCCTTGACCCGAAAGTCTTTCGACCATGAAGGGCGTACCAACTAAACTCCTTACCATTCTGAAGTCCCGAAGCCATCTAAGGATTTAGGGGAAGCTGTCTTCTAAATTCCCCACAACAAGTGGGGTTCTCTACTTTGTAATCGAAATGATCATAATTGACTCCGTTGTTACAGATTCTAATGAAGTGGACGTTCTGCCATGTGACCGATTGACAAACCTAGAGTACGCGGATGATATAACTCTCTTTGAGTCTGACTCTGGTTTTGCAAACAACGCTAGATAGACTGGTGTGTAGCGCTGCAAGCTTCGGCATGTCCTTTGCATTTTCAAAGTACTGTTGCAGGACTGGGCCGACACACCTCCGGTTTTAGCTACTTCCACAGAAACTGATGGATCGAATCACTTACCTTGGTAGCCGTGTCACCTTGGGTGTTCACATCACTGAGCAATCTATTTCGCGTATCAGCAGGCCCTATGGCTTTCCAGATGCTCAACGATCTATTGAGACAAGGGGATGTCAGCTTGACAGTGAAAAGTAGAGTGTATAACGCTGCTATCGGGCCCGTGTTATTGTATGGAGCAGAGACCTGGCCAGTTCCAAGTGGAAACGCTTAATGATTGGCTGTGTTTGAGTATTGCTCACATCTGATTGGAACACCAGGTGAGCAATGCGTCGGTTAGTTTTTGGCAAGAAGCCCTTTGGTGTCTCATTCGAGTGTCTGCTTAAGCTCAACCGCCTACGGTGGCTAGATCATGTCTTCTGTATGCCTGTTGAACCGCTTCTTTAACGTGCAGTAAACACCGTCAGTGCAGGTAATTCGGCGAAGTCGCGAGACGGCTAGTGGCATAAATAAAATATATGAAGATTTGTTATCGATCCCTCACAAGTCACACAGGGGTTGATGTGATCGAGTAAATACACTCGTCGAAAATATTTCCATCACGGTTGGATCGGTAACTGAGCAAATGAGAGGTAGAGTAACAAAATGTCGAACGTTTTGATGCTCTTGAGGGTTGTGATCTAAAATGTTGATGCAGTGGAATGCTAACGTACAGTAAAACATTCTTAAGTTGACCACTCAACGGACTGGACCAAAGTGGACAACAGAGAGAGCAGGTCAACACACAAAGTTTCCATCCGTAAGATTTAAACGGTGTACTTTCAAGCAATCAAAATTAAAACGGTCAACTTCGGAGTTATTACTTTATATGCTTTCGCTAGTAAGTTGATAAATCCCCGAAATAAACGGTTCACGCTTTATAGTTCCGTGAAGTGTTTTACGCAAATATGTTCTATGAACCTGGGAATGGGCTCCATTGGTGGAATTAACGACAGAATACGTAACTTTCCCATGAGAATTCTTTTGATATTTTCAGAGCTTGATCTTCATAAGTCAAGACGTAAATGACACTGTTTTAGCTAGATCGCGGATGAAATGCGAGAATGGTCGAATATAGAAGCTTTGAACAGTAAAGAGCTGGAGGTGTTATTGATAGTAGAATCTGAAATGAAGTTTTGACTAACTGGCGGTTTAAGGCACAAGTGTTGCATCTGTGAAATTTGGAAATCTTTGCACCGCCAAAGTTGTAGTCTTTGCGTGTTTGTAAATTCAAAAAGGAGCACCCACGAGCATCTTATGCTGATCCAGTCCCATTTGAACTCAAACATGGCTATAGGCAAGGGCTGTGGACTGGACAGATGGTTAGTGTATCGGAGACCCGGTGTGAAATACAATAGTGCCACATCCGTAGACGTGACTGAACTTGGATGCATGGGTTAGGTAGGTGTCGTACGTAAATCGAGGAATTTCAACCCCCAGAGAAGGAAAAGTGACATGGAGAAATCGACTGAGAGATGTGGTCAGGATAGTGCTGCAGTCTTCGCGAATGGGGACCTTGGGATGACCAACACCAGTGGTTGGAGATTATCAAATATGTCGGAGTTAGTGGCGCACTTGAATCTTGCTGATTCCATCCCGATTAGTTTTGCGCATTGTCTCCTAATTCCAGTTTTTTCTGTATTCTGTTTCCTATTATTGTTACTGTGATTCTACCGGCTGGCTACTGGATCCCCCCACTTCAGTGCTCGGAACATAGCTGCTCAACCTAACGGCTAGCGGGTCAAACATCACGAACTGTTCACCAAAACATGTGGACGATTGAGGCTTCTTTGTCACACCCTGGTGGCAGGTGGTCACTCATCCATGTTGTAGTTCACTGTCCTCGGTATGCTTAAATTGGGAGGTGGTGGTGTCGAAGCCGATGGGTGCTTTGGTCGGCCCATCGGAAGCTAGGTCCGCGAGAAGTGCATCCACAAACGCTAGCATTATGCAGCACAAGTTTAGAAAACAACTCGTCCGAGGTATAAAACATCTGGGAGCCCATCGTTAGAGCTTCGTTTACAGTCTGTAAGCCCATGCCACACTGGATGAGAGGCCTTGGTTCGATTGTCGCAGCGTCTGATCAGTGGCCTTTCATATGGCTCACGAACGTGTATCCATTTTGACGTGGGCTCGCACCATAAACAACGAATGAGACGTGGATAGCAAAGCTTGTAATAAAGAAATATACATGTGTACACTCATTTCTGAGTCATTTCACAGAGACCTTTCGCTATTCGATGGGCAACTGGTGGTCCCTGAAAAATCATACTCGTGTACAATTGGACAAGTGAGGCGCCCGCTTTCATCTTCTCCAGTGCATCTTGCGCATCACTAATTCCCCCGACTCCAATTAGTGGAAGTTCACCTTTGGTCAATGCGGCCACTTTGGCCAAGCATTCAGTGGAACGAGCAAAGAGAGGTCGCCCGCTCAAGCCTCCCAGCGCAGGACTTTCCACAGGGGATGCATTGTCTCCCGCGGGGACAGCATGACATGCGACTGCCTCTTCGTACGAGGCCAACATGGTATTCGAAACGATTAGACCGTCGATTCGAGTCTGAAGAAGGACCAAAAGAAGAAAATATCGGCTGCGAGGATACAAACATGAGATAAAATGCGCCAAAAGAGATCTGTAACAACCCCATTCAATTAGAGCCGCTTCACAATTTCCAGGGAATCATCAACACAATACGAACTCTATGTGGGCGGTGTGCGTTTAGAACTCGCGACATCACACCTACGGAGACTGCCGTAACTAGCTGTCGCACATTGCAAGTCATTCGAGTTCTAAGTGTGCCTGGTTGCCCTCAAGAGAACTACCGATCACAACTGTTCCGTAGCAGGCAGAGGATTCGAGAAACCTGCAAATAGATGCCACGACCCCACTGAGTGAAAAGAAGCAGTCCGAGTGGCGGCGCCTAAAAGTGAGAACAAGCAGCTGACTGCAAAGCAGGCCTCTTCGAGATAGAATGAATTGATGCATTTTGTAACGCTCAATGCCCCGAGTCATTGTTTATCCTGTTCAATTGATAATTCGGAGATATACATACAGGCAGCTCGGCCGGAAGATAGCAACAACCATATCACTACAGCGGTGTCTTCGGGTAGGCACAAGGGAGTGATAATCACCTCGTTGGTTCGGTAGGCTCCTGTGCGCTAAGGAAATTCTAGGTCTGCGTGATATGGAGAATTATTTGTGATGGAACAGGTTGGACTACCGACACAAAAATTAAGCGGCCAAGCATAGTACTAATATGCTATCCGCGTTTGTTGGACAAATAGCTTGCCCATGAAGGGCCGCAGTTTCTTGCAGAATTCTTCATGCACGCTAGTGCCAGATCCTCAAGCTAATTCATAACGAAGGAGATGCCTAATGAATCAGTTTGTACTGCTAACATGAGCACTAATAAATGGAATTTTTCAGAGTAGTGGTTAATATTTTTTAACGGTAAGAGGTTCAGTCCCAGCCTCCTGAAATAGTTGTTTAGTCAATGACTCACCGAAGGCTCAAGAACAGTTTCGACAATGTCCTTCAGAGACTGATCACTTTCATCGGGGGATATTTTTAGTAAGATGGGCGTCCGTTTCTTTAAACGAGAACGCGCGTCCAAAACCTGAACAATTTCAAAAAAGTGGTGAAATGGTGATAGATTTGCAAACTAAGTATGGACCATAAATGTGCACATTATACACTCGAGAACGTCAAACCACTTTGGTTACGTGAAATGCTAGGTATAAATGGCAGTGTTCTACGGTTTAGGCGATGAAGCGCCTAATGACTGAATTAGAACTATGAATATCGTATAGTAACTCGTCCCTCACTCATGAAGTCTAGACTCGTTCAATGGAAAGCGAAGTATCGCAAAAAAGGGTGAGCATAGTTACGTAATCGCCTAATCGAGCAAATTGTATGTATCCATTTGCAATGTCTGTTGAGAATACAAATCCAGTCACAACGCGAACCAAGACACGGTGCTCCAAGCTCTCAACTCTGGATACGGTGTTTCACCGTGTTCGCAACAAGACAGTACCTTAAGATGGTGCGACGATTTGCGTACCGTTTTGACCCATTGAGCTATACTGGGTGATGCATCCGGGCCCCCTAGAGAGCTACTCCTACCAAGTTAGTCAATGGTTAAAGGTCAGACAAACGCAGTCTTCTGGTCATCCAGTTTGAAGGATGGAAATGGGATGGCGTCCATTCCTATAGAACTAAATGTTTGCCACCTTTCCGCTGCGATCCCTACAGACTTTTGAGCAAAAAGCTTTAGTAAAGGACCCTAGTCGTCCTCCACTCTAGGTCTGGACGCCCTGGCAGTATCTCAGCCCCAAACTCTAATGATATCCTGCATCGGCCGTCGCGCAGATTATCAACGATCGTCTTATCTGGTGTATGCAACACGGCGCATTAGGGATAACATGCTACATCTTGCGCCTCCCTTCTTATCCATCTATTTCTTATACTCCCATTCCTTATCTTCCTTCTATAATTCCCAGTTTTATTGACAGTAACCAAAGTGCCACTGGAGGAGAACCATCTGCAGTCACCTCCCCGCAAAACCCATCGGACAACCGTCCCTCGTAAGACAACGCTGTCCCGTTCCCCTAACGAAATTCAACATTCGCACGCTAAGTCGACAGGCTGCACTCATACGCACGTTAGACACACTGGATATTGACGTGTAACGTGGTCCGAAACTAGGATCAATGAACCTAATAGGGGTGTTGAATTAACTGCGCTCGGCTTGTCCTCTCGCCATTGGTTGCACGCATCCAGAAACGCTGCTGCAGCACTCCCGTGTCAAGCTGGGGCAGGTATCAGTCTCAACTCCAAGGCTCAGGCATCGTTGATTGATTAGATTCTGGTGAATAGCAGCTTGTGTGTTGCCCGTTTGACGACATCAGCTAAGGTTGATTCACGAAGTAGTACAAAACGCTGTTTGTGATTTCCACTTATGCTTTCAATGACTGCAGTTCTGGTGCCACGAAGGACACATGGTAACCCGAATTGAATGCGACTAGTCACTAGTACAGATATCATAATATTGCATGGGATACGAACGCACAATTAGGCATCTGAGCTCTTCAAAAGCTCAGCCAGATGGTAATTATGGGCTTAATTCCGAATACATTGGCATCTGGTAGCGTCTGTTGCAACTGTATGCGGAGCACCAGTTGTTTCTTAGTAGCTCTGCTTTCAGACACAGTGGGTGCTGTAGAGCCACTTGGCGTCCTTTTGTAGCTGGCCAGCGATGGACCCAAATTGACCATATAGCCATAAGTTACAGGTGGCGTGGTTCCACACTGAATTGCCGCTCCTTCTGGAATACCTGCGTCGACCCTGATCATGCCTTGATACGCTGTCGTTTTTCCATGAACTTTACCGAGAGGCAAACCTAGCTACTCCCCCATTCGCAACTGAGAAATAATCCCAGCTCTCGATCAGGCAAGTCTATCAAACTATTCTGCGTACCAAACTTTCGTTGTCTTGTCCTAAAGACACTAAGGTTCAGGAGAATAGGATCTCAGGCGCTATGCACGACGCAGGAGCATCCGCTGTAGTACTAGCAATCGTCACCGCACCAGCCACTAGATTTCTGAGAGTTCGGTGAACCTGTTGGAATCCAGAAGAAAACTCCCGACTTGCTCTGAGCACAGTGTAACTAGGCGCGAACTAAAGCGGAGACTGCGTCCTGACAAGGAAGGCTGATGGATCAGTTGGGCTCAAAAAATGGAGGAGGCGGGAACAGTACACAACTGTCGAGAGCGCTTCCATCTCATCCGCACCAACGGTCCCAGTAAACCAAGTAATCAGACCGCGCGAGTGCACTGGTACACAATAAGGAGCGCCGTATGACTCGCTGGGCGGAACACTTACAGGATAAGTTCATTTGGCCACCTGATCCTGCACCTCTTCCTACTCAGGTGATACAGGACGAGCCATAGCCAGTTAGCATAGAGGCCCATCGGAGGCTTAGGTCCGAAAGATGATCACAGTTCTCAATCGTTTTCGTGTCGTTGGCCCGGATTCCCTCCCACCTGCATTATTTAAAGATGGTGAGGTCCACTGAGAAACATTGACTTCCCTTTTCGAATATGTTTGGAAGGAAGAGTGGCAATATACAAAAAAGGCAGTCGCACAGACTGTGCTAGCCACGAGGTTTTAGTCTAGCGCCAGTTGTGACCGGATTACTGACCTCAATTCCCGTTCGTCGCCTCACTGGGGAACGGGACTCTCGGATTAAGGAAGAGCAGGTAGGTTTCCGCCCAGGACGTGGCTGTAATAACCTAATATTCAACCTGCGGTAGGTGACAGAGCAGCGCAAGGCATATTGCAAATCGACAATAGCTGTATTCCTCGAATTCAGGAGTGTGTTCCACTCAGTAGATCGATTTATTCTGTTCGGTCTACTTACGCGGAAATTTGTCCCGACGAAATAGGTGAACATCTTACAATCATTATACTCGAACACTACAGGCCGCGTTAGGGTCTACGGTGGCCTATCGGATAGCTTTCCGAAAACTAATGGCCTTTGTCAACATTGTCCGATTTCCCTACTTCTGTTCCATTTCGTTTTGGATTCTTTCATGGAGTGTTTCCTTGCGGCATCTCACGATGTGGGTGTTGAAGTGCTGCCCGGTGAACGATTAGTTGATCTTGATTACGTGGACGATATCGTCTTGCTTTTCGACAATTCTGCGGCGGCGCAATCAACCCTGAATAACCCCACTAGAGTAGTCCCTTTATTTTGTATGCGATTCGTACCTTCAAAGTGCAAAGTGTTGCAGCAGGACCAGCATCTCTTGACTCGATAATGAAGAACTCGAGGTAGTTGATGGATTCACTTAACTTGACAGTTGCATCAGGAACGATCAGTGCGAAGAAAGTGAAGTCAGTTTAGGCACTGCCAAAGGCAGTAATTCCTTCTTGAACCTGCGGCATCTTCGGCGACAGAAGGGGAGTTTCTCTCCGCTGAAAGGTCGCGATTACAAGGTCACAGTGAGGGTCATCCTGCACTATGGGAGTGGGACTTGGTCCCCTCGGTCTGAAGATTTGAGGCGCCTCCAAGCCTTTGATCACCGTTATCTGCGAAGCATTCTGGTGTCGGATGGCACCAGCGGGTCCCCAACGACAATGTGCGCAGGCTAGTACTAAGCAGTGATAAACAACCTAGTTCTTTATAATAACAGATACTGCTAAGTTGGGTTGGCTTGGGTACGTACTACGTATGCCTGGTCACCGCTTATCGAGGATGGCTTTGTTTGCTCTCCCAGATGTAGGGTGGTGCAAGGCTCGAGGTGGACAAAAGTTGACATTGCAGCGAGAAATGTAGTCACTGACGCCCAAACGGTGCGGTCAGTCCATCTCGCCTTCCGGACTGGAGTCCACGTGACTTGCTTTGTGCTTGGCTCGAGACTGGAGGATATGACTCGCTGTCGAGACCAGTGACAGGTCCGCTGCCGTCTCCTAGTCGGACTGCCTGTTTAGTGCTGAGTTAGCTGTAGGGTAATGACTGATTATGACGCGGGGCAGTAAAAGCCGCAGGGAAGCTGTCTCGCCGATGCGCCTTATCTTTGCACGATAGTCAGCTGTTTGTGACGGTATGTTGCTAACACAAGGTGTAGGTGCCTTGACTCTGAATGTTTGTTTGGACATTAAGTTTTTCAGGTAAGTCCTCTTTCTCATCCTCTTATTGCTCTTTATTCCACAGGTGATAAAGGTTGTCTGGCAACGAAGCATCAGTTCAATTGGCTGATGTACTGCTGTTGTTGATTTGATTTGCTTGGGAACATTGTTCGTCTAGAGGACAAGGCCAGTTTGACATCGCTCGCATCTCCCGTCTCGATTCGAGTTTGCATTGTTGTCAGTAATGGTGGCAATTATTAGCTAATACCTAGCATGCTGAGTTCACCGGATACGGTACCTGTGCCGTACACATAGTCATGCAAAAGCCTGAGTACTAGGCCCAGGCTGCATCGTTGTACTGCACATCTAATCTTCCGTGTTTTACTCTTATACTCCAGGCAGCCCCTTAGTCTGGTCAACAACTGGCTGGTTAAGTGGTAGATTCACTTAGATGGAAACTAGATTTGGAAGGAACATTTATGACGGCAGCGTTACAGTAACAGGACTAAATCCCTGCTACTGCAACGCTCCCGTCAGGACCAAGCACTCTACAAGCTGGTGGGTGATAAGATTCTATTTTCCCTCTAACATTTAATCAAAAATCGATACAATGCATGAGATATAAGTCGTGTTTACTCTATGCATTGACGTAATTCATTACTCTCCTAATGGCATGTTATTAGGTCAGGTAGAGTTTGTTTAAGTGGAATGCCGCTGCTATGCCCCCAATTACCTGATGCATATACATATTAAAGTGAATTTGTCCGTCAATAGTGTAAATGTGGACGGGGTCTTTAAGGAGCGTGCTGGGAGTTTTCGTTGCGCGCACGCGTACCTATAATGTTCGACTTATGCAGAAGGTCTTTCGCATCTAAAGTTCGAACATTGTCGACGAATTCGGACGTTTCTCTTGCTGCCCAGCAAGCTGGTGCCGGATAATCCAGGTTCGTTTGGCCAACCATGGGGCGACTTTCTGACGCATAACTC